AGAGGTGGACGAATAACTAGACCATCCACGTCGTCATTGTCATGAGTAAGCACTAAGTCCAGCAAGGAAGATCCTTGGGTAGAACCGAATCTTGTACTACCTAAGACATGTTGTGTCAGGGCATTTTCCATGGTAGTCAAGAGTAACCGGCTGTCAAACTTATTAGTGGATCCTGGAGATGTGACAGCTACCCAGTCTATATGAGGTGCATTAAAGTCACCTAGAATAAGACAGCTACTGTGTTTACTCCATTGTTTGAGGTGATCTAAAATAAAGTCATCACACTGACAAAAGGGACTTCTATACAGAACACCAATGAGTAAAGTGCCAGCTGCAAAGCTTACTTCACAGCTAATAACCTCACTTGTCCCACTGTCATGCGCTTCAGATTTCATGGAACGAACATGTAGGGAGTTGTTGATGTACAGAGCAACCCCGCCACCTCTACGACCCTTAATCCTGTCAGTGCGCAAGCAACTAAATCCGCATAGCTCAGGTGTGTCATCTAATCCAGAAACTAGCCATGTTTCAGTAATGGCCATAATACTTGGGCTAAGGTCTTCCACTAATACACCTAGCTCATGAAATTTGTTCCCGATACTACGTATATTAGTGTACACTACCTTTAGGCTTCCTATGCGGTCCGGCTTATCAACACAGGTCTTGGAAGCATACGTTTCCAAGACCTGGCTATTTGAAAACCCACCAGTTTAAGGTTAGTCTCACCATTTTTACGTCTTGTTTCTAGCTGGGACATAACTTCTTTTCGTTTAAGTCTGTCTTCAAGAGATAAATCAGGTCTGACTGAAATTCCTGACCCGGGAAGGTTGTATACATTAGCCAGTAGACGATTCCGTTCTTCAGGAGAACCTAAGACTACGTGAATGTTATTTGTACTAGTAGTATTGTATTTCGCAATGACCGAATTACAGGAACTCAACCAAAACACTGAGAGGGATGAATTAAAGAATTTGTATTTGGCGAAAATATTATATTCAAATCAAAATAATAAATATATTAACAAACAACAGTAAGTATTTAAACAATACAAAGATAGAAATTGTCAATTACAACATCCGCCACATGTCGAATGTCTGCTTGCGTATTTGTGGTGATTCACTATTTCTATCTTTGTATTGTTTAAATACTTACTGTTGTTTGTTAATATATTTATTATTTTGATTTGAATATAATATTTCCGCCAAATACAAATTCCTAAATTCATCCCTCTCAGTGTTTTGGTTGAATTCCTGTAATTCGGTCATTGCGAAATACAATACTACTAGTACAAATAATAATCACATTTTGGCGTCGCAATGGAATTAAATAATCTTGGAAAGTTTCCTATAAATGGTTCACCGCGGGAAATCTCCGATTATCTTGAATGTTTCGACGCATGGTGCATGTCGAAGAATGTTCGCGATGACAAAATTCCAGCTCATTTTATTACTGCTATTGGGCTAGATGCGTACAGCCTACTGAAAACTGTCATTTCCAGATAAACTAATTTCTCTGTCTTATGATAAACTCCGTGAACTTTTAACAAATCACTTCCACATAACAACTTTCGAAACACGAGAGAGGGCTCAGTTCAACAAACTTGTCCGTGCTCCCAACCAGAAGATTAGAGACTTTATTCTTCAACTTCAGATACAAGCTTCAAAATGCAACTTTGGAGATCAGCTCCATACTCAACTACGTGATCGTCTAATTGCTGGAATCAATATTCCTAAGTTAGAGAAAGAGTTGGTTCAGATACCTTCCTGCACCTTTCAAGGATTTATGTATTACGTATGAAGATGTCAACAGTGACTACCCAGCTGCCACTACGTCAGAGTCTGATGTCATGCTGTCCAAAGTTGATAATAAAAGTGTTCATAGAAAGAAATCCAAACTGCCGTCCACATGTAATAGAATGCATACAGAAAGCAAGAACATCAAACCGTGTTTTTCATGTGGATAACTTCATCTACGAAGCACTTGTCGTTTTCGGAGTGCTAAGTGCCATAAATGTGGTAAAATTGGGCACATCAAGTCTGTCTGCAGAAGTTCAAATAATTATGCTACTCATGATTCTCCCAAACTGTCTGATAAAATGAAGTCAATGTCTCTTTCAACTTTTCACAATACTCAATCTCATCTAGTGAGAAACTTCACTACAAGTTCAGGCAAGTCTCACTGTTTTATAATTGATACTGGGAGTACTGAATCTATAATTTCTAAGAAAGATTTACTATTGCTTTGTAAGCATGCTCAGGTAGACCCTACTACTAGTTCAATTACAGGCATAACTGGTCATAAACTACCTCTTATTGGTGCAACTAACATTTGTTTGAAGTCAGACAGTGGTAATTTTGTGAATATCCCCTTTCTTGTTAGTGAATATGGTCCATCTCTATTGGGATTGAAAGCCCTTAGATTGTTAAATGTTGAAATCTCACTTTGTACTGAGTTGTTTGATGAATCTTTGTTCAGAGAATTAGTTTTTCAATGTTCAAAGTGTGTAGGTGGCATGCAGATTCAGCCCATCCATCTTGAAATAGAGGGTGATCCTATCTTCCTAAAGCGCCGATTAATTCCATATGGTTTGCGAGATGCAGTTAAGAAATAGTTGGACAAGTTGGTTGAGCAGGGCATACTTATGCCAGTTGAATCTTCGAATTGGGCTAATCCCATTGTCACACCACTAAAGGCTGACGGAAAAACACCGAGAATTTGTGGTGACTAGCGTCTTACACTCAATAGTCGTCTTCTACAGCAAAGTTGCACTACGCTAGAAAGCGAAGATATTCTCTACAAGCTACATGGCTCAAAATACTTTTCCAAAATAGATCTAAAAGATGCTTATTTGCAAATTCCTCTTGACGAAGCTTCTAGTGCATTAACAACCATTAATACTCCATTTGGATTGTTCAAGTATAAGTTCTTGCCTTTTGGTTTAAAGGTTTCTCCTGCAATATTTCAAAAAGTAATAAATCAGATGATAGACGGATTAGATGGTGTTGAGTCTTACCAAGACGACATTATAGTTCATGGTCCGAACATCGAATTGCATAATGAACGTCTTTTAAAACTGTTCAGGCGCTTCTGTGAGAAAAATGTTCTTGTTAATCCATCTAAATGTCATTTTACTTTGTCGTCTGTATCATTTTTGGGATATACAGTAGACTCTGAGGGTTCCAGACCTGATGCTAGGCGTTTGGCACCTCTAATTCAAGCACCGTCACCTAATAATATGACGTCGTTGAGATCATGGATTGGCACTCTTCAATTTTACTCCAGATTCATTCCCAATTTCACTCAACTGTTATCTCCACTTTTTAATATTGTCTCCAGTAAACAATTTAAGTGGGAACAACAACATGAAGATATCTTGCGAAAAACTTTGGAGTTTCTTAATAAACAAGCTTTCCTAAGACCTTTTTCATCGAAAGATAAGTCCGTTCTCACTACAGATGCTTCTCCTACGGGTATAGCTGCAGT